AGAGCATGTCAGAATGCAGCGACTCTTGTGGCCCTTTTTTTTAAAGTCTTACTTTTTAAGGGAAAATGATAATAAAAAAGCTTATTTAAAAAAAAAAAGGGCCACGAGAGTCGCTAGCCTTGGACACAAGCTTTTACACAAAAATCTTCCAAATTTTTTGGAAAAAAGAGTTTTCCGAGTAAAAGTTTTTGTCATTTATGAAAGAGCAGATGACGAACTATTTTCCTATGAATTTATCTCAATTTCGATCATTTTGGCGAAAAGTGACTTTGTTGAGGAAGGGGTCCTTAATATTGATCCTCATGAAAGGTATTATTTTCTTATTCTGCTTCTACCGTAAACTAGATAAAAGAGTCAAAACTAGATAAGACGAAGAATCAATCGTTTCTGATTGTGTTCTCATTATATTTTTTATATTAGCTGATTATATATTCAAAGCAAGCTTTATCATAAATACGCTCTCTTCTTCAAATCAGTCTCTAAGAGCTGTTAAACTCTCACTAAAAATTGTGTTAAGTCGTAATAATCGAACATGGATGACAGGAAAGACGAGTTGGATTATCGAATCAACGAATAGTCGAGAACTCAGCTATTTTTTTTTTGTTTTTTTTCTGCTCCGAAAAATGCGTTTCACTGTGATAGTTTTTCCAGTAACATCGAAATATATTATTGCTGACCAGTTTCACAAAGACCTAGTACATTCTAAAATGTTTCCCATTCATTTTTCATTTCGATGTAGCACGTTTTTTCCTTTCTAAGTAAGGTGCGGGAAATTCAAAATTTTAGCATAAATTTTTTTTTTCAATGTATTATATATGGTTGGATAGAGCTCGTCAAACTGTATAAGAAAATATATTTTAAAATTTTTTTTCTTGCTTTATATCAAAAAAAAATCAAAATACTTTGATGATATCAGTCTATGTAAAAATCGACTACTTTTGAGAAATGATATTTAAATTTCTCTTTTTCTTGTTCCAATAATTCTAAGAATATTATTTTCTTTATCAGTATGAAAAACTGAGTATAAAACATTAATTTAAATTAATGTTTTATACTCAGTTTTTCATACTGATAAAGAAAATAATATTCTTAGAATTATTGGAACAAGAAAAAGAGAAATTTAAATATCATTTCTCAAAAGTAGTCGATTTTTACATAGACTGATATCATCAAAGTATTTTGATTTTTTTTTGATATAAAGCAAGAAAAAAAATTTTAAAATATATTTTCTTATACAGTTTGACGAGCTCTATCCAACCATATATAATACATTGAAAAAAAAAATTTATGCTAAAATTTTGAATTTCCCGCACCTTACTTTCTTATATAGATAAATATAGTTCGTTGATTTTTTTCTCTCCATCTCTTTCTATTCTCCAAAAACAAAAGGTGAAGTTAGTACTTTGAACATATGAAAAAATATGTTAGATGTCGTTTGATAATGAATCGGGCGTTATCGGTGCTCTCGCTCATAATACAGCTGAGGAAGCTTAGTATTCCATTGATCTTGATCATACAGACCAAAAATATACAGAATACCTACCATATCCTGATGATAATTTCGATGAAATTGTTGATGACCATTTTCAACGAGGTTTCTATAATTAGTTTTTTTCGATCTGTTTGAGTTCTTGGTTACTAAGGTGAAATATTTACTATCGAACATATTCATTGTCATACTGGAGAAGGATTTGTTCCTAATGTTCCAGTTCATATTAAGTCAATTGTGACTGAACGTACTGATGAACGTTCTAAAGCGTTTCTTGATCCACATTTGTAGGTTTAACTAAATAACACTTAAAATTATTGAAATGATGAATTTATTTATTTCAAGATTCTGTATAACAGTTCAGCGTGAGTGTTATGAATGGACTACTTCAAAAACATTATCGACATTTTCAAGTTTTACATCAAGCATTGTTGAATTTTGCGGATATAGAAAGGAGGAAATCAAACCATGATTTAGACATGTATGTACGACATGGAATAATAAGAAGACAAAATATTTTTTAAATATCTTTCATACAAAAAGATTCCAGATGTTTATCGAAGTGTCCTCTGATGAAGTTGGGTATCCGATAGCATATAAGATGCGGAGGATGATTCCAGACACCAAATCAGTGGAATTAGTATATTATTAATTTTGGAAAGATATCTATACAAAAACAATAGCATACTTTGAAAGCTGTCGGAGTTATGTATCATCCCTGTGCAAACACATTTGATTTTGTTCTGATGCAATAGAAAATAAATCGACTGCGATCAGGATACGCTCATCATCAGATTCCTACGGGTCAAATTCGATCACTGCTGACAATTAGTTTTTTTTATTTTTTATTAGTATACTACTACGTCTTCATAAAAGGAGGTTATATATAATTTGAAAGCGCTAGAGATTTTTTATCTTCTTATGTATGTATCTGCTAGCTTGCAATTATTTGTTGTTCGAAACAATTAATTATATGATCTGACAATAGTTCTCATTGCAGATCATTCTGAACTTTTAAAAGAAAAAACTTGAATACTTCGTTCTTGTCAGTAGACGGTTTCTTCGTCATATTCAAATTATTTTTTGATCAAATAAATGTAAACTGATAGAAAAATACATAGGGAGATAAAAACTTTCAAGTGCTTTTATAATATATACGACTTCTTCTTTTTTTGAAAACGTATTCAAATAGTGATGAAGAAAAGTTTGATTGCCATAGCAATGATCAAATCCGATCCGTGGGAATCTGATGATGAGGCTATCTTCATTACAGGGGATTTATTTTCTATTATGTGAGAGTGTGAGTACGATTTATCTATAGCCGAACATTCACATCCATATCCTTCGACATTATTGTCAAAATTTTTTGAAAAGAATTAAAGAACGAAAGTGGACAAGGGTGTTGTGATTTCTTAGCATTATCTGCTTTTATTCTTATTGTTTTGTGCATGTTTTATACAAAAACAGTAAGTTATGCAGCTGTTTAAGAATTGTTAGAAGCATTCTAGACTATTTAAAGATAATATGAACCGATTGCTTCATTAAAGATCGACCCCACATGAATCATGAAAAGTACATAATAAAGAACAATAGATTCTGTCAAGAAAAATGAATCCGACATAAAAACCAGATTTTTCAAATTGCGTTTTGCATCTAATTCGATCCTTGGATCGAGTTGAGTTATAGAATTCAGTCTAAAAATAATTGATAATTTTCTAACAACAAGTATCATTCGATCACATCAAACGAATCAGCTAGATCAACTGAAGTAGTGTGAACTAGATATTTGTTTATCATGATTTCATTTCTTTTAGTAACCAAGCTGAAAACAAAGAATACCCATATTTTCCAACAAGAAATGGTACAATAGCATTTACTGATGATTCCATTATTGAACAACGTTGTGTAAATTAAAAATGAGCTTTACTTTTTTTTAATCATTTATTTATTTATTTTTCCTCATCGCCAATTCTTGTCGATTATCTCAATAAAGCTCTTCAACATCCTAAATTTTGTGCACACCCAGCAACGGTATGAATTCGTAGTTGATATTTTTACTAATTTTAACGTATAGACTAATTAAATATCTAGAATTGATGAGAAACTTCTTTCTGATTGTTGAGTTCCTTTCTACAGAAATTCACTGTTGCTAACGTAGCTTAACCGAAAACTACCAAATCAAATATAATCTGTTATATATAGAAACTTTTATTACAAATAATTAACTGACTGGAAGAATAATTGATTACCATTTACGAAAGTAATCATCCCAGTCAAGAACTGAGGTAATGAAATCTGTTGTTTAGCTGAGAATAGATAACGCTATATGAAGATTTCATCTGTCTTCGTTTTTCTCTAAAAGGTTATAGCGATGGTATACTCGATGTTTTCTGAGGCTATGGAAGAGGGGAGAAAGAGGCAGAGTGAGATTTGGATTCGGATTGGAGTAGGCGCGGGTATAAATAGATAGAACATCTATACTCGAGTCGTTTATTAACAACCATGTTACCTGATTACTAATTATTCAAGGTTACTAATCTACAGTAGATGGTAGTTAATAGCTTTGATATAACATGCAACAACTTTGTTATGGCCAACAGCATACATTTCTTTCATTGAAAGTTTAAGATAAAATCTTATAAAGATAACATAAAAAACAGCAATCAAATGTTGTAAAATTTGTCATCAAAAAGAAATCCTCCAGGAAATGATCAAAACAAGACTTTTTGTCTATAACTTTCATGTGTACTTTATGTAACACTGCTAGTATTGTTAACGAATGTGAAGGTAAAAAGCTGTTCAAAAACATGAATTTTTACAAATAATAAGAAAATACGAAGGAAATACAAAATAAACAATAGAATCATTAGTAAATTGTAGTTGACACTTCATCTAATTCTGCACATTTAATGTAACTTTGAAATCATCATCAAACTTTGTTTTTTCTTAATGGAATATATAAACGATATTTTTTCAATTTTTGGTCCCTGATAAAAGACTTTCGATTTGTTAAGATAATAGTTTTTGTGTAATAACCTTAGTTTACTGTCCATCAGTTCTATGGCGTTCTGAATATTGTTCTAGCAGATCGAAAATGATTCATTTAAATCAAAACTCTTATGAATAGCAATAGAGAAAATCCTATACAATATTAGATAAAAATTCAATGAAAATGGTAGTTACTTTCCTTATAACATCGTATCGTACTATTTTAATTGTTTTTAGTGTCAATTTTTTGGCGTAAATTGTTTATCATTCGTTCTTGGTTTATCAGTTACTCGAAAAGAAGGTTATCTACAAGAATAATCTATTAATTATTATTTTGATTACCATGCTTTCTTGCGTGCATCATATTTTTGTGAGTTATGTAAATGTCATGATGGTTCAAAGTACGCATATTTTTTTCCTATGAATTATATTTTCAATAAAGAGATCTTCATTTTGTGAAATATAGATGGTTTATTATTAAAGATATTTATATGACTGATATACGACCTGATATACATGAAATATGTTTCCTATGTTAGTTGATCATGATTTTCAAATTTCATCTGATATTCAAAATATTGGTTATGATGATGATATTAAAATAATCAATTCACAGTGTATATTACTTATTAAATGTCGAACAGTACATAATTATAATGAATGGATAAAACATTTATCAAATCTAACTGAACAAGTAAAAGATGTTGTCAATAAAACACGAAATCAATCAGATTCATATGCACCTATTCGAGAAAATCAATTAGCTTATTAGTCAAGCAATAAAATGATCTTGTATTAAAATACAATGTTTAATATAGGTTTATTAATGGTAAATCATATATGTTAGCTAATGCTAAAGCACTTTTAATAGCTAAAGAAGAAGTTTTTATTATAGACTGGTGGCTTTCAGCTGAACTTATGTTAATTAGACCAGCAGATGAAAAACATTTCGACTTGATAATATATTGGGAAGAATAGTTGTGAGAATTTGATTTGTTTTATTATTTATGCTTGTTAAAATGTTAGATATAAATTTTAGGATGCAGGAGCTCGTGTTCATGTAATGCTTTATAAGGAAATGTCATTTGCTTTAGCTTTAAATAGTTTATATACAGAAACAAAATTAGTTTCTAAAAGTACAAAAGTATTTATTAAAGCCTACTGAGTCTTTTAATTAAAAATAACATAAATAGCTCATTTACTTGAATATCTAAGGTTATTCGACATCCAGGTCATAATACTAAATATTGCTTACTTTTGTGGTTTCATCATGAGAAAACGGTTGTTATCCACCAAAAGACTGCTTTCATTGGTGGAATTGATTTTTGTTATGGTCGTTGGGATGATGAATTTATGCGGTGAGTTACTATCTTGTTATTAGATTTCATATTGTTTTCACGTACATCATGCATTGATTTCTACCAAGAAAAAAACAAGCATATGTAATACAATATCTGTTCTAACACTGATTGCATTAGTACGAGTATTTACTATAGTACTAACTAAATTGATATCAACATTCTTTACAAAATTCAAACACTAACTCTATCAAAACGATGCTTTTTCTTTATCATTCCATTCCGATCCTTGATTAACACTGATACTTGTGCGCACTAACTATTGTAGTTGCATAATCTCGAATGTATTACTGAGAGTGGATTTTTTTATTTCATAAATTATTAAACTATTTTCCTACAATAATTTTATATAATTACTTTTTAAGAAAAATAAATCATGATAGCCATCTGAATATTTTCTTCACTCTTGATGATTTTTCTTGAAAGATATTCTAATGAGACATTACGGCACGAAGATAAAACTGTATACATTCACATGAACTATCGCTAACGCGAATGTCTGGCAAAGTTACTCGTAGAAAATTTCCCTTGCCAATTATTTAAATGTAGCGTCATCCGAAATGAATTAATATAAACAAGGAACCTGTACTATGTTGAACCAAGTATTAAGTTACGAGTTTTCGTTTTTTTTAATGCCAGTCATGTCGATGTAGGTGATGCATATGATACAACATTGAAATTGCCATCCGATATAGCTGCAGAAAACGAACCGTCAGCTGACACAGAAACGATAGAAGCGGTACAAATGGTTACTACTTATATGGCTGAGCAAGCTGGTGAAGCACCTATCAAGGTAAGAGAACTTAAAAGAGAAACAGTAATATAATAAGAGGAAACAACCAATCATCATCTACAATCAAAACAATAAGTTTTTGGACACGCTTGTATTTTTTTTATATTTATTGATTTGTGAAGCAGAAATAAGAGATAACATTTTTCTTTTTTCATCAGTAGATATTCCTCGATTTATATAATTTTCAATATCAAAATTATGACTTTGGATGATCATCTTGAAGTATGGAACATTGTTTCGTAAAAACAATCGGTTTTTCGATGTATGCAGGATGAGATTAGATATGGCACTTTAACTTTAACTTTACTTTGATAAAGTGGTTAAAGTTTAAAGTCTGACTTTAACTTTAAGAGTTAAAGTTAAAGTGTTTTACTTTAACTTTAAGAGTTAAAGTTAAAGTAAAGTACTTTAACTTTAATGTTAAAGTTAAAGTAAGAACACTTTAATACTTTAACTTTAACTTTCAAAGTTAAAGTAGGTATCTAAAGGATGTCCTGCATGGTTATTCTTGATTAGTCCCTTAAAATTATCTTCATATATGTGCTAAAGAAATTATTTATACCAAAAATAGAGGAAGATCAGATTAAACGAAAGTAAAATTACAGTAGTTCGAAACAATAAAAAGATAGTCTATGTAACTTTGTAGACTCTTTCTAGAGATAGTCCTTGTCGCTTTTTACGACTTGTCAGAAAGTAATATCTTTGACTTTATGAGATTTCTGTATAAATAATTCCTATAAACCTAGAAACGTTGTAGAGATCGTCCTGGATAGCTGCCATAAAAGGGATGATGATCGTATTGGATGAACCCTAAAAAGTATTGAGCAGCAGCCCGAGTCCTTCATAAAAAGTTATAAGAATCATCTCTACAGAGACTTTATGTAACAACAAAAGTGTGGCGTCTAACAATTGCCTCTATTTTAAATCAATCGCTCTTTTTATACATCGTCTCTCCCCTAGGGAAGGAGAATATCTATCGAGAGAGCAGCAAACAGATACATCAGTGTATACATATACTCATACAGGGAAAAGCACATAAAGAGAAGATAGATGAGAGTAGGGGTGAGAATTTATTGTTATTGTTATAAATAAAAGATAAATAACAAATAACTTGTTTTCTGGAAAAAGTTTTGTCTCACCTTGTTGTATATCTGAATTGCACCCGTTATTTATGCCTATGCTTTAGAACGAATTTCTAACTTCAATAGTGCTGACTCATATGATATAATCACGGTAGACAGCGAGCTGAGTTTTCAGAAAAAAAAAGTTATTTGTTATTTATCTGTTGTTTATAACAAATAACTATAGAAAAAAGTTATTGTTATTTGTAACAATAACATTTTTTGTTATTGTTATTTGTAACAATAACATTTTTTGTTATTGTTATTTGTAACAATAACATTTTTTGTTATTGTTATTTATAACAACAAGATAACAATAACTTCTCACCAGTGGCGGAGCCAGGGGGGTGCAAGAGTTGGCTGAGCCCACCCTACGTATTTTTGAGCCCCTCCTACCGAGAGTTTAGAAAAATCCATTTCTTTATACAAAAATGTATCAGTGTTTGCTATTTCACGTTTTAACATATAAGCCTAAGTTTGTAGAATCGACATGCCTGTGAATAAAATACAATAAAATACAATACATCTGGGTACTAGTTTCAAGGAGATTTTATATGTTACGAGCAGCTTCTTTCAGGTATATTCGAGACTGCATTAGTTCGCTTTTATCAGGATACAGCGATCTGTGCTATTGTGAGGTCAGAATGAAAATTGATTACGTTGTAGTATGGTTGCATTGATCATTTTATGAATATTTAGATCTTTCCTTATTTATTTAGTATCTTGAATAAATAATTATTTACAATTGTATAGATATACAGAGTAGCCCAAAAGTAAGGAAACATAAAGAGTGTCCCATAATAACTGATGATAAATTTTTAATGGTATTTTTTATACTTTTTATTAATGTAGAGACCTGAAACTTTCAGAAATAAAAGGTTTTGATTAGATATGTATGTGATAAAAAATTTAGGTCTCTACATTAATAAAAAGTATGAAAAATACCATTAAAAATTTATCATCAGTTATTATGGGACACTCTTTATGCTTCCTTACTTTTGGACCACCCTGTATAATATACAAATGTATAAAATATAATATTCAAGATTATGAAATAAAATATATAAATATAAATATAAAGGACGTCACATAAGTTTCGATCTCCTTCAAGTAATAGCCCTTTCTTATATGATTTTCCTGTAGAAAAGGCTAATATTTACAGCATTTATACTAGGCATCTAGATCTACTCTATGGTAGAATTTCAGCTTTCTATCTCTTATAGTCATAGAGCTACAAGTAACTTAAAATTTATTGGAATATTTTTAGAAAAAAAGGGTGGGGGTGGGCTAGAATGAGTGATCGAGTTTTGTATTTCATTTTCTTATCATCTAATGAGTCGCATTCAAAAACAAAATATACCACAAGATGAAGCATGAAAAGCTATATAACCTACATAGTAAAGCTTATTTTAATTGTGTACCTTTTGTTTTCAAAAAAAGCAAAACTCTGTGAGATCGATTTTCAATGATGCTCAAAGATCATGTTTTTTCTACCTGAACAAATTCCTTTTTTCTTATTTCATATTTTTATTGCCTTAATGCTTTTTCTTAAAAAAAAACAGAATATACCACAAGATACAGCGTGAAAATCTCTGCAATCTACATAGTAAAACTTATCTTAACAGTGTATCTTTCATTTTCAAAAAATGCGCGTCTATTTTCCGTAGCATCGAAAATTGGTCTCACATTTTTTTAAAACAAAAAGTACACAATTAATAGAAGCTTTAGAATGTAGCGTATAGAGCTTTTCACGCTGCATCCTGTGGCATATTCTGTTTTTTAATACAACTCATTAGATGATAAGAAAATGAAGTACAAAACGCAGTCATTTATTCTGGCCCATCCGTTTACTATTTCAAAAAACCCCTATCAATTTTAAGTTACTTGTATCTCTATCATTATAAGAGATAGAAAGCTGAAATTCTACCATAGAGTAGATCTAGGTGTCTTGTATATATGCTGTAAATATTAGCCTTTTCTACCGAAAAAACATATCACAAAGGGCTATTACTTGAAGGGGATCAAAACTTATGTGACACCCTTTATAACAATATATATTGTCAATGTGACTCGAATGTAATAAATTCTTCAGAGTTCAAAATTTTGTTCGAATGAGGGAATAAACTTCTGGTTGAACTTTCTTCTTTTTATTTTTCTTCTTTCTAAAATTAGTGTGCTGGAAGAATAGAAAATTATTGGATCTCAAAGAGTTATATTCTGAATTAATTCCATTCGTACGAGCTTTTCCAGATGTTGTTTTAATGATTCAAGGGCCGAAACACTATCAGCGACGAACGTTTAAGTGACTTTTGTGTACTATCAATAGAGCGAGATTTCAAAATTGATTTTGACAGTGTAGTTGAAGAGTTTTCGTCCAACCCTAGAGAAAGTACTGAGTTCAGGGTGCCCATGTACTGAGAAAGCCCTAGAAGGGTACCCAATATGGATACGTCAAAAATTCTCAGTAATTATACTGATGTAGGTACTGCGTGTGGTTCCCATAAAAGTACGCTCACTGAACAAGTACTTGTATGGGTACTTGCATCTGTAATTTGACTGAGGAAAAGTATACAGGGTACCCTATATTTGTCGCGTTCTGTGTAGCGACTATTCATTCACCGTTTTCTTTTTCACGCACGGCTTCATATAAACAACTGGGTAAGACATAAGAAATTAATCTATTTTCTTACTAATTTTTTCTAGATTATTTCTTGACTATTTCTTAGTCGAGAACATGCCGATCTTGATCGTAGATCAAGAGCAGACTACTCCGAAGTGGTCTGATGGATACCTGACCAACTCAAGTCAGGTCGGATCCCGGCAGTGTACCTGCTAATTTTTTGGAATTGAAAAAACTAAATTGAATAAAATCGAAAAAAAAATGTAGTGAATTGCTTCGAGAGAAACAAAAAATAAAAAAAGTTAAAGTTCAGGTTCGATCCTGAACATACTGAAATTTTTGTAGCAGGGTACCTAGAAATACTATACAATGGTACCCAATTGAGTATCTGATCAGTACCTTCATGTACCCAGTTACTACACATTTTGTAGCAGGGCACTTGTCAAAGTACCACTTAGGTACCTGAAAGTACTTTCAAGTACTTTGGTATCCAAAAGTTTCTGCGACATACTGGTAACAGGGTACTTTTTCGGGTACTCTTAACTCAGTACATTCTCTAGGGAATCATAAAAACAGAAGAATTATGTTAAAATAAAGCATTGAACATTTTTGTTTTACTTGCTCGTTCAGCTAATATTCTGAGAAAAGTATAACTAAAAATAACCAATCACTCTATATTGAAATAATGCAAAAAATTCAAATTCCTAATACGAGTCAAAAATATTTTGACGGGCTCAGCTCCCCCTAGTCCAAAATCCTGGCTCCGCCACTGATGTAAAGTATTGATATATTTTTTGTATGAAAATTTTATAGAGTGAAAAAAAACAACATTATTTTGCTTGCATATGAGTGTGCTTTTTGTATGATAATAAGAAAAACAAAAATTTCTCGATAAAGATTGATTTGAAAATAAAATAAAAATAATGATAAAAGATGTGTATTTTCTTAAAGACTCACACAGGAGATGTTCTCATTTAGCCTCTAGCTACAGCGTGAATCAAGGCCATTATGAATAAGAGTCTTTTATATATACATATATATGACTTGTATCAATGAAATAAACAGGACTTATTATTTTGGTTATCGCCAACCTTTTATTTCTCGCTCATTTTTTGGAAAGTACTCTTTATTTACTTCTCTATGACATGCAGTGGCGTAGCCAGAGATAGAACAATTGCTCAATGATTGAAAAGTTATTCTCCATAGTTTTTTTTAATGATAAGAATTGCGCAATTCTGAAGAATCTTAATAGAATAAACGTCGATTTTGTGACGACAATAAGTTGTAAAAAAGCTATAGTCCAATTGATTTCTAACAACCCATTTCTGCTCCGTCCTCAAATTAATTTAGCTGGAAAATGGCCCATGAGTCAAAAATTCCTCATTACGCCGCTGATGACATGTGTACTTAGCTTCATTTCAGTACATACTTCGAAATCATAGCGCAACTCTGACGAGGTAATATTACCAACTTCCACATCGCTTTTAAGTCGGGACTATGCACATCGTATAGGCTCTAATGATTTATGATCTCTATGACGTTTCTAGGTCTATAGGAATTATTCATAGAGAAATCTCATAAAGTCAAAAATATTACTTTCTGATAAGTCGCAAAAAATGACAAGGACTATCTCTAGAAAGACCCTAGAAGCTTACATACATTATCCTTTGATAGTTTCGAACTACCGTAAATTCACTTTCGTTTAATCTGATCTTCTTCTATTTTTGGTATAAATAATTTCTTTAGCACATATATGAAGATAATTTTAAGGGACTAATCAAGAATAATCATGCAGAACATCCTTTAGATACCTACTTTAACTTTGAAAGTTAAAGTTAAAGTATTAAAGTGTTCTTACTTTAACTTTGAAAGTTAAAGTAAAACACTTTAACTTTAACTCTTAAAGTTAAAGTCAGACTTTAACTTTTATTTTTAAAGTAAAGTTAAAGTGCCATATCTAGATGAGATTTTTTTGTTTCTCATACCAAAGCATTCAACTTTGCGACATCATAATGATATCATGCGTATGTCACTGGAGCGATCTAGCAGTTCAAAATATTTTCAGTGCAAAAGGTTAAAGTTTGGAGAAAAGTATTATACTAAAATATTGATGTTACATGCATTCTTTGAGAGAATACTCAACTGCATTCATAACAAAGTCAATATAAGAAAGGTGTATTGTATAACATATGAGAGACGAAAAAAATTCCCTAGAAACTCGTATAATTATCAGTGAAATATTCTTGTGGCACTAAGTCTTGTACATTTTCTTATATGGTATCGGTTTAAAGGATGAAAGAAAAAACAAATAATTTTTGTTTTTGTTTGAAAAATTAGGATACGTATCTAAGTATGAGTGAGAGTACTGGTATATGATGGTGGAAATGATTTTCTTCATGTTCATAGTCTAATTTTCAAATAAAATAATGAAAAACCCGTGTTGCACAAAAAGAAAGGAAAACGAAAATTTTCCTTTTTCTTTTATCTTTTAAACCGATACCATCAAAGACAACGAAATAATGTTTGACACAAGATGAATATTTCACTGATAAATATACCAGTTTGTAGAGATTTTTTTCTCTATTGCATCATAAACAATACATTTCTCTTATATCAATTTTTCTCATGAACACAGTTGAGTATTCTTTCAAGGACGCCATGTAACATCAATATTCTAGTATAATACTTTTCTCCAAAATTTAAGATTTTGAACTGCTAGATTTCGTACAACTGTTGATGGGCTCTCCAGTAGTATATTTAGAAATTAGTGCTGAAAAAATTCTGATGATTTTTCCTCTATACTATCATATTCAGAGATTTTTTTTGCCTTTTATGGAACAGTTTTGATTGTGAATATTATTTTTCTATATTGATAATCATATGAATGGATGTAGCTTGTTTTAATCACTCTAGTGATATATGCATGATATAATTTTGATATCGAAAATAATATAAATCGAAAAATATCTACTGATGAAAAAAGAAAAAATTTATCTCTGATTTCTGCTTCACGAATCAATAAATATTTAAAAAAATTAGAAGGGTGTCTGAATAGTTTTTGGTTTGACTGTATATACAACATTTCTGAATCTATTCTAGAGTTTTAATCATCTGAAAACATCATTCAATTCTCTAAATGGAGCATATGCAGACATTAAGTTTCCTGATTCAACTAATGGAAATGGTACAGCATATAATTTGAAACCAGTAGCTAAAGAGTGTAAGAAACTTCATTTTGTTTTTTTCCAAATTGTTTACTAATCTTTTTATCTCATTATCAAGGGATACAATTAACATTAACAGGTAAGAATAAACGTCTTTCCTTATTTGATTTTAGAAAAGAAAATCACGAGATAATACTGATTACATGTCAAAAGAAAGTCATATCAAATATCACGGCTGTTTCGTATGCATAAGGATGAATATACGAATATTATACAAAAGATTGATGAATTCATTTTCGATAATATTACTTTCAATGGATTTCATTCGTTTGCTATGATATTTAACAAAGCTCTATTGCTAATTGTAAAATAATATCTCAAGGGTGTGGGTGTGGGTGTGGGTGTGCATGTAGGTGTGGATGTAGTTGATGATAAGATCGACATCGAGCAGCACACCCACACTCTAAAAGCAAATAATGATATTGTTTAAAATTTAATTGAAATAAATGGCAGTTATTGTTAAAATTGAAGACGGTCTGATCTTGAAATCTAGCAGATTCAGATTTGTCTGAACGTGTTCACATCGCTTTGAAGCGGTTCTCTCTCAGTCATCGATCGATCCATTAGTGCGTTCCCGAACAAGAACTAATCATGCAATAACGGAAAATAGACATACGAAATTAAATTACTTTAACATATTCGATGGAGTTGACTAGAGGTAGCAATAGGGGGAAAACAAAACGGTAAATGAACAGCCATCAAACAGAACACGACACACTCTAATTGTGACATATTTCATGGTAAAATCTGCGACACAATTACTAGAGATACATGAATGTGACACATTTTATTTTAGCGTGTAGTGCAGATACCAAATTCTCTAAAATTTCAACTAAAATTCTGAGAAAAAAAGTTACGTAAAAAGAAGTTAAGACAATCATTGTGATCGGTTATTTGAATATGCTCTTACGTCGTTGAAGGCATTGCTTGTTAAGGTTAAGTAAAACAATAAATGTAGACAAACAATACAATAGCAAACAAAAAATCGTGGGCCTTGAAACGTAGACCAGTTGAGCTAATCCTAAATTCGCATTGCTTCTGTAACCATTGACAGCCGTCTATCTTTGTACATTCTACATCAGTCAAATAAGCTCGGCAATCACCACTATCCAGATATTTGAGCATGAAAGGGCAGCGTGTTTTTAGACGCTCTTCAGAACCTGATCGGTATGTTAATCGACCTACATCAAACGTAAGAACTGTCTGATTCATTTGATAGGATAGCCATGGCTGTTCTCGCAGATGAAACAAACTGAAATAATGAATAAGTTTTGCAGAGAGGTCGGCCTCAGCAGGTGTGAATTTAGTTCCTTCCAAATTATTATGAAATACATAAGGCAATTCAGTGAAATGAGTAGCATTGAAATGATAGGATGTATAATTCCAATGTTCTGTAGGATGTGCAAACAGGTACGCGTAAACCGATGATGATAACTTTGATAAATGATTCAGAAGAAATATGCTTGGACAACATATGTAGTAATCACCGAATAACCAACTAAGTGCGTCGAAGTAGTTTTTGTTCGTCTCAGTTGGATCATATAGATCGATGAGGTCATTTGGGATCTGATATTGTGAAGCCCAAGGACGGTATTCATCTGAAGAGATTGACAATTGATATTGATTAAATAGCAGTACACTCGTTTGACCCTCATTTGCATTGAATCCAACCAGGACGGATGCATTTCGGTTGTATTTACCTTTGCGAATTAAGGTTAATGGTTGTTCTTCTAATTGCGAACCAGTACCTACGCAGGGCCACAAGTCGATCCAAAGTGGCTTTAATTTTTGGCTAAGTTGCCTCGCAGGCAATTCTTGAAAACAAGTGATGTTCGATTGGCATTCGGGGAACAAATTTTCAAGCATTTTCCTATTTTGCTGTTCTATCTGCTGACATTCTAGTAGACGATAAGGTCCTGATGATTGCAGCACAATCGATGAATAAAATGGCCAGCTGGACGGCATCAACAAATGAGCGACGACAGAACCTCCACCAGCTGATTGACCGAATATCATCACATTCGTCTTATCACCCCCAAACGATGCAATATTATTCTGAACCCATTGTAATGCTAATTGCTGATCAAGCCAACCAATGTTTCTCGTTTTGACATTGGGTAATGGGAAGAAGCTAAAGATACCAAGACGATAATTGATTGTAACAATAATAGAGTGAGACAAACGAGCAAGATCGGTTCCATCATAGAAATTGCCACTACCAGAAGTGTAACCACCTCCATGAATCCACACACGTACTGGTAGTAATGAATAACTTTTCGAAGGAACCCAAATATTTAGAAACAAACAATCCTCATTTTCATCATCCATTTCCGGTTGACCATGAGGACCATATTGATGGCAAACTGGCCCAAACGCTGTAGCATTAACTACTCCGATCCAGAAGCGTGATAATGAGGCTGGGGACCAACGTCTCACAACTTGCCCATAACGAATGCCTAGATAAATGTCGACTCCGTTCGATGTCAAACCAACAAAACCACCAGTCTGAGTTTTTATTGTTTTCACTTCGACAACCATCACAGTTACCAAACAGATAAAATAATAAGATGCTTTCATCTCAAAAAACATCGTTGATTTCACCGAAGTCAATTTGAACAACGTCTTTCTCCGTTTATTCTCGTTCTTTATATGCAATATCTTCAGTATTTACCACTTTAATTCGAATATTTGACATAGACGTCTATTTTATTTTAACGTTCTGTTATCAGTTGCATTCAAAAGCTGTTCTTTTGCGATTAAGACGCACTTAATCGATGCTTGACTTATCATAAATCTAGCATTAAGTCGGTACAAAGGAGAAGTTGCATATATCAGTTTTCATGATTCGTTCTGGCTTGATCTTTGAGTTAATATGTGACATACAGCAATATAGAATATCTTCTCGATCTGCAGCAAGTGTCAACAGATTTATTTAAAAGAATCGACAAGAAGGGCTTAAACTATTAAGTTTCTTTCATTATGATGAGTTCTTCAGTTATATTGCACGTTACAAAATCTGAGCCTACGATTATACTTAAAATAACTTAGGTTTAGTAAAAAATTCGTTGCATCAATCGATAAAATGCTCATCATAGTAAACCAAAGAGCACATTCTATCACCTTGCTGATTGGAATCAAATCATTGAGATTATTTATTTCCTGTGTAAAGCATGCGAACAAAGGCAATCATCGAAATACCAGGATGTGAGGGTGGTTGAACTAAACACATACACTCACAGACTCATCCACAAGTTCAAGAATTTTTCAGTTATCAATTCAGTGAATTCAATTTACATGAATCGATATTTACATAGAAAAATTGTGCATACATCAGTCATGAACTTCATCAAAAGAGTTTTTTTTCAATCAGTTCAATATTTGAGTAACCTTGTTCTTCAGAAAAAAAACGATCAATCTAACAAGTCATTGTCATCATTTATTTCATATACCTTAAAGTTGTACATAGCAGGTAAGTCAATCTTCAGCAGGAAATCAAAGTCCAATAAGAAACAAGAATTCTTGCTATATCGATTTTTAAACTTCTTTGAAATATTTGAATGAAAGTATTCTCTTGTGTCAGATTCAATCGAATATTTTTTTCCCATAAAATATTTATTTTTCATGAGCTTATGCTAACATAACATGTCATATCACTACCAGAGCATACAAGAAAAACCCAAGAAGACCAATGATTCATAATTAAGCTATTCTTTTGCCTTTCTGATTTCATATTTAGCAACGTTTATGGATATGTTCATGATAAAAACTCAACGATTTTCAAGATTTGTTTTGCCTACTTAAAAGTGTATTTAGAAGAAAGAAAGTATTGCCAATCTCTATTTTTTCCGATGAATTTTTTTATCAGCAAATTTATCTGGGTCATTAGAATTCTATAAATTACTTTTGAATTTTAGATTAGCATCATATTTTATACCAATAAAAAAAACTAACAACATTTTACATTGTTGCTTGTGAGAATATGGCATTCAATATTCGCTTATTATCCATTATTGTCGGAGCTTTACTAGGCTTAACTTCTATATTCTTCATTGTTAGTAATGCAATTCCTGAAAATTATATCAGAATAAAAGATTGTTAGTACAATCGATGCAAGATGAACATGGAAAATACTATGTAGCTGTTCTTTCTAATGAAGTAGACATTGTTTTATTCTATATATCTTGGGACACATTTCTTCACCGGGTTTTTTTTTATTTAATATTACAGAATTTCGATGAGTAGTTCATATATCAAAACAAGTTGTTATTAATATACGATCTGTCATAGTCTATGGGAGGAGTGGGTCCATATATCTATCTTACATGCTTCAATGTTTCTTTTGGATTGTGTTTCATAAATGTGCATTAATGATTGATAATGTCCATCAAATACTACTATGGACAACTAAAGCTCTCGCTTTTGCTTGTGTTATCATGGAAAGTATTGATGTTGCACTTGGTATTAATGTTGTTTTTGACAATTGATTTTATAACAAGTTCAGACTGGAAGTTGCTGCAATTATAGGAATTGTTGGTATTGTCATTAACTTGGTTGGTACTATTGTTACATTATTCATCAAACAATAGTTATAAATATGACAAAAGATAAAGAAAAAAATTGAATAAACGATTTGAGCAATTTATTTTAATACATCTTTTAAAAAACTTGATTTTTGTTCGTTGCACTTATCTCTTTTCATTAAAACTCATCAGATAAATAACTAAATACGTTTCATCATATAACATTCGATATTTTTGTTTGGAACACAAATATTATTTAGTTTCAATTATAGTGCGTATAACTAATATCACTATAAAACATGGATAAAACTTTACTATTGATTATTGTGAGAACGAAAATAAGTCTAGAATAATTCTATATATTGATAATATTCGATTTTCCAAAATATTAGGTCCCCAACAAGAATTGACGTCGAAATGTATGAAATTTTTGTACTTGATTTTTGGAGTATCTTTATTTCTTAATAAATAATATTTATAAATATTTAAAGGAAGAACAATGACAAGACTATGTTTTTTCAAAAAAAAAATTTACTAAAACTCAATGTGTTTGAATACTATTTCTAAAAGAGTGTTTGTGAATCATGAGAACACTCTTCAACCAGAGATGTCCATCGCGGCGCTGCCGCGGCGCTGCCGCTGCCGCTGCCGCTGCCGCGGTGGCGGTGGCGGCGCGGCAGCGGCAGGTTTTTAAAAAAAATCACCGCGGCAGCGGCGCGGTAGCGGCAGATTTTTTTAAAAGTCATCGCGGCAGCGGCGCGGTAGCGGCAGGTTTTTTAAAAAACCATCGCGGCAGCGGCGCGGCAGCGGCAGGATTTTTTTGGAGGACATTGAAAAACTGTATGAATTTAATGGAATTTCACGATTTACAAATGAAACGCCCTGATATTGAATAAATCTGATGGACTAGTACCCATATCTCTGGTCAAATATAGTCACAGCAGTGAAATTAGAAACACTTTTTTGAAAATCGTCGCGGCAGCGGCGCGGTGGCGGCACGTTTATTTTATAATTCGTCGCGGCAGCGGCGCGGCAGCGTTTCTTTTATAAGTCATCGCGGTGCGGCAGCGTCGCGGCAACATTTTTTTATAAACCGTCGCGGCGCGGCAGCGGTGCGGCAGCTTTTTTTTTCTAAGGCCGCGGCGCGGCAGCGGCAGATTTTCAGCCGCGATGGACATCTCTGTCTTCAACACACATACATCCTTCAGAGATTTTTCCGGATTCCTTTTTTTTGTATAAATATCAACAATATTAAAAAATATGTTAAAGTAACAATAACATTAATATTTTGCAACAATGAAAAATTTTTCAAAAGAATGTATGCATAGATAAAAGAAAGAACTATCATTGTCTTTGACCCAAACTTAGATTAGTGTTCTATCCAGGTCGTCTCTTTTTTGAGTAATGATTCAAAACATTATGATAGTCAAAACCAATTTATTAAATCACAAAGTTGTAACTTTGAAATCCTATACTATCAAACACGATCTACATCCACACTCGAAATTAGAATTTGTTATATCTAATAATCGAAAAGAATAACTTAGGATGCATACATCTAGACAGTAAAAACCACGAAAACTTACAAAGGAATAAATAAATGCTGTGCAAAACAATTTCAAATTTCGATAATGAAGTTTAATTTAACATAAGAATGATCAACAATTTCACCTAGAGTCAATTGTGCCTTATCGAAAATCTTCATAACATCTCCAGTAGATAATAACTGACGGTTGAGTTGGTTAGAGAATAGTTCACCACTTTTTTATTGTCTCGCATAAAAAATGAACATCAAATCGTCAAAATCGCCATTTCGGAGAACTTATTGAAGACGAATGAAAACTCATTGAAGATTAAAAAACATTTTGAAAATCCCACGGAATAGGACAGAAGAGACTAACTTTTCGTTAGATTCGTGTTCCTTAGTACACATATATTTTAGTTAAAACATCTGCTAATTCATTATTCTATTTGATTTTGTTATTAGTGACCTCTATTATCTATAAACGAAAAAAAAAAACAAACGGCTTCCGTTTTCTTTCTCATCAACCCTCTTTCCAAATATTCAAAATATCTTTTATTCATTCATTCATTCATTCTGGTTTGGATAGATATTATCTCAACAAAATACCCATATTTATGTCTAGAATCTGTGAACATCCATTCTGTACTCGTTTAATATCATCAATATGTTTAAATCATTGTCAATTAGATTTATGTCAAGAACATATAATTGAACATAAAGATTTATTTCTTGCTCAATATGAAAAATCATTTAATAAACTTAGTCAATCATTAAATGAAATAATTAATTCAATTGAAGAAAATAAAAATAATCTTAATAATAATTATCAAAAAGATATTTATCTTGTTAATGAAAATTATAAAAATAAATTAAATGAACTTGAAAAAGAATATCAATTTATTATTTCAACACAAAAATTAATAAAACAAAAATTTCAACTTTTAAATGATGTTAAAAATGGTCAAACTTTTCTATATCAATATGATATTGAACAAATTAAATTATATGTAAGAAAAATTCATGAATATTATCATAATAAAATTATAAAAGAAAAGTAATGAAAAATTTTTCATTATTTAATTTAATATTCTTTTTCTAGTAATAAAAAAGATATGACAAAATTATCTTCATTTAATTCTACTAATATAAAATTTAATAATATGAGATATGTTTATGGTCAATGTCCATTAACTCATCTTGGTATATATGGTTTGACTGCTAAACATAAATTACGTTTATGTTCATTAAAGAGAAAAACATATGATATTTGTTTATTAAAACATTTTAATCGTTATCATCATTTAACTTGGTCATTATCATCAATATTAACAAAAGCTATAATTAATAAATTAGATCCTTTAACAACATGTATTTTTCAATCTGAATTAAATATTATTGATCAACGTTATCGTCGTATTCGATGTCCATTAAATAGAATTACATCTTCTAATTGTAGAAAATTAATTTTTATAGGTTCATTAAAAAAACATTTATTAAAAATTCATCATATTAAATTACAAACATGTAATAAAATTATGAAAAAAATAAAAAATAAAAATGGTTTAATGAAAATTGATTTTGTTGAAGATGATTTTAAAAGTCAATAGTAAAAATTAATTTATATGAAAATATACTATTTCAATTTGATTAATATTAGACAAATTAAAACTGAAATTTGAACGTTCTCTCTTTTTTTTTTTGTTTTTTTCTTCTACAAATGATAATTTTGTGTTTCTGTTAAGAAAAAATAAAGAACAATAGAAAATCTGATTATTTTCTATTAAGAGAAAAAAAAAAAAAACTTTACGAGAAATTCTTTGAAATGATAATGAATAATACTATTATTTAATTGTTTATATTATTACTTTAAAATATTCAAAAATAGTTAGTTAGGATGTTCATTTCTTCTCATAAAGAGCTCGAAGAAAATTAAGATTAAAACAGTATAGAAAAACTTCGTCTTTTATTAAAAAAGTCATGTAGACAAGATTATGAGATTGTAGTTGATCGATTCACGATCAACTAAGAAAACACTTAAAACAACATTGTTTCAGCGGTAATCGTTCCTAAATTATCAAATACTATTTGATTTCAAATTCTCTTTAACAAAATCATTGTATATAACAAACTATAATAGAAACCACATATATGCTTTGTTATTCCTATATCTTAGTTGCTTCTAATACAGTTTTCTAATTCTAGATGTTATATTAGTATCTAAATTGTTCTCGATCTATTCATTTAATTTGTACAAATCATTGTTATAGATTTATTTGTGAAGAAATTCTCATCGAACCCATCAGAATAGTTGATGTCTTTATTGCGAACAAATCTATGTGGGATTTTTTCGCTCATTAAAATGCACATGGATTAGTATATTTTTCATTTTTCGAACTTCATAGTTTGTGATATTGAATGATTCGATTGATACAAAGAAAAATCTTATGCACGAAATAAACTATTAATCATATCAGTTATCCTAATCAAGATAATGAATTGGTCGATTCTTGATTCTTGGATATTCTTCGTCACAACTCGATTGAACAGAGGAGATTGTCTGAAAATAACTATAGGAATCTCTACATATATTTTATAAATATTCAATGTATTACTAATCATGATATTTGTACCAACAGTAAAACAAAAAGAGAGAAGCCTACAATTCAATATACAAATTGATTACGTATCTGATGTACATGTATCAAAAATGAACAAAAATACTCATCATCACAAGTCAACACGAATATTTATATTACAGTAATTATATATTTAGAAATACGTCTTTCTCGTTTGCTATTCACCTGTACGTAGAGGATGGTATAATCAAGACTTGTTGATGACCTAACTACTACATAATTATGTGCATTCATTTCAATCAATAATTGTCAATATATATAGTAGATAATTAAAGTGTTTGATTTATTCATTAGTTGTAAGCATGACTTCATTTAATGATGATGTACAAGTCTGAGTAACTCATAGAAAATGACTTTGAACACTAGTGGTCTGCAGTGTGATTGCCAATAGGGAATAATCAATTCTATTTCAGACACAGTCAATATTAATTGCCGATGAGAAGAGAATTTTTCATTTTTGTTTTCATAGCACTGTGTTACTAACCTAAGTGTATATTTTACGTTTACCCTATACTATCAAATTAATACTCCGACAATATTCAATTTTAGAGTGATTGAAATATGCATTGAATACATCACTTTTGTTTATGTTGATTTGAGTAGTTAAATTATCATGCAAATGTAAAGTGATATTCTAGTTGACAAAAGTATGTGCCTTTCTCCTGCTTTGCTTTCGTGCAAAGTGACGATTATGATTGCACGGTCTGTCATATATCAAACGCTTGTTTTTTTTCTCTTTAGTGTTTAGTTTATCAATCATCATATTGTATATATGCTCATAGTCAGTAAGGTAAATGCGTCCCATCTGTAGCTATTAATAAATGTGAAGAAAGAAATTGAAAAACTACTTGATGAGACCCACAAAATTGATCAATCACGAGTTTTGATATCAAATGATCCTTCTTTAACTGAATCGCTTTTTTTAGATAATAAACTTGCTCGATTCCGTTTACCATTGCCGAAATCAGAGAATGTAAGTATTGCTGATAATGAACACTGCATCACTCATGTCAAATAGACATAACATACTCAACGACCCAAACACTGATGAAATTCATAGATTCAAGATCATAGTCAAGGTAATTGTGTAGGTTGGTATGATTGGTATACAGCCTTACTATGTGAAATAACTGCGTGGTGTTTTTTAATCAACATCAATCGATTTTATCAGCATGAAAAATGACTCTTTTTTCTTTTCTGTACTAGCATTAGAAAAGAAAAAAAAAGTTGCAATAGGCAGTCACACTCGAGCAAATTGAGTTTTTTGTTTCCTTAATTTTATTGCCTTTTTTCAATTATATGTCCAATCATCCACTTGCATATATATAAACATACGTATAGTGAGAGATGTATCGTTAGTGTGTACACAAAAATCGTCAGTAATTTGGTTCTTACTCTGTTTTTAACTCACAGAATCATTATCTAACATGCGTACTGCTGTTGCTGCTGCCTTACTACTGTTGGTTACTCTGTTCATTATGAAAACCGAAGGTGCCCCCAAAAACAAGCGGTGGGTAGTCGATCGTCAGACAGACCTTGAATTACGTCGATTAATGCACAATTTCGCCAACAATGAGCAAAGAAGATCGCACAAGATGGCTGAACCCCAATTGAAGTCATATTCAATTAAACGTGGAGGAAATGATATATTTAAATGGGATCTCAGCGAGGACGAGAAAAACTGTGTATATGACTGCAGCGATGCTGATGATGATGATGAGTTCATGAAATGTTACAAAGCGTGCGTTAGTAAAAAATGAACTCAAAACATAAGACAATTTATTCTTTCCATTGATATAATACACTAGATGGTCACTTACCTTCATTTTTTTATCTTCGTTTCGAATTCAGTCAATGTATTATTTTTTTCCTAAACTATATTACTAATCGAAATTCATTTCATTGTTTTATCAATCAAAAATAATTTAATTTGAATCAAAATAAATAAAATATTCTTTGTATATCTTGCTACGTTTTTTTTTTCTTTTTTTGATTTTTCATATCCAATGACTAAAAGTTTGAATCATGAATATTCAATCTTATATGTTATTAAAAGAGAAGTCAGATACTAGTACTCATTTGAATGTATACTTTACTTACTGATATGTATACAACATAAAGTTCGCCATGAATTGAGCAAGTACTGTATTGCATATTCAACGAATCGATCAAGTTCAAAATTTAACATCTGAAGATCTTATATTTCATCCACAATTATAACATCACAAAAAAAGGAGGGAAACATGATGATGATGATCTAATATATTGGTCTCTATAACAAAAAAAAAGAAAGAGAACTGTATCAAATTATTAGAGTGACAAGAAAGCTCAGATCTTTACTGAGAATTTGGTAATGATGACATCAAAAAAGCAGTTCTTCCGTTTTGTTCGAACCATAGATCACAAAGGACTTATTTTATCATGTGTGACAAGTATTTGTTAATATACTATTCAATGTTTCGACTGAATTACAATGGACCTAATTGTTTAAATCATCATGCTTTTTACAACATGAATTTTTTTCAATACTTGAGTATGTATCAAATTAATGTGTCATCTTCAGACAACAATCAAGAAAGTTCTAACGGTTGATATAGCTAGGCATGATCTATATTCATCTAGTGCTTATAAACATACTTCGTAAGTTCAGGTGTCTGTGTCTTGAATTAAGTTTCATTTTTTTCTTCAGCGGAAAAAGTTTAAGAACAAATGAAGTACCATCACGTTTCTTATATTGTTCTTTGAAATAATAAACAAATTCTGCTTCTAAAGACATCATTTGAAAGATCAGAGTGTGTCTTAACACAACATGTTGATCTCTTTCGAATAATCTTCTTCTTTAAGTATTTTAACAGAGTTTGGGTTCTAATGTGATTTAATCAAGTGTTCAAGATTATTGTGTTTTCATCTGCATCGTTGTTCTTTTATCGTACTTCAAATGTTTCCTATTGGTCAAAATTCTGTTCGTTTATAAGGAGAATTCTGTTGACTTCATTCAATTGATGAAAATATTTTTCGTGAAATATTAAGTCACAGACATCGTTTGTTTAGACTCTTAATTAATTTGAAAGAAATCTCATAGATTACCTGGTTTTTTAACTTCTTTTTCTGTCATTCTTCATTAGTACGAATTTGGCATGTCCATCATTAGTTCAGCTCTGCCACCATTAACATTTGCAGAAAAAGAGTATGAGTGTGGTTGTGAGTGAATGGTGTGAATGCGATTAAAGAGAACTCCATCACCCACGCCCACATCCTTAGTCCCATGAAAGTTTAGCTTGGTTTGATAATGTGAAAACTTATTATAGTACTGAGATTAAAGCCCCCAACACGTTTATTTATGCCCAAACCCATCCATGGACGTTGTCCGTAGTGTGATAATGGCGCAAAGCAGAAAATGTCTTAAATTGTCATCTTAGCGTTCGAGCGGTGCCGACATGTTTTTTTTTTAAAGGAGACATCATGGAACTGAAGACTTTTAAGGATGGGAATCATACTGATATGATAAACACATTTGCAGACTATTTCGTTAATGGTAAAATTTTGGCCATTCTGCATATTCTTAGCAAATTGTATGTCGTGCAAAAAGCTTTCTCTCATATTCCATGTCTTATCATCAGAAAAAATTTCTCTAACAACTATATAATATTCTTTTTTACTGTATTAATGAATTTAAGTGGAATAGCAAGTATTTTGACAAAAAATACCCTTGAATTACCGTCACTGTAATTATCGGTTCAATGGAAAAAATAGTCGATTGATCTTTCCAAATCACTTGATTAGATCACGACAAAATACAATTTATTAAAACGACACCACTTGAGTCTTTGTACATGTATCAAGATTTTTCGGTTTTCCAGTTAATCTAGGATTTTTCTTGCTTACGTATTCTAAAGTTTCTTATACCATATCATGCGATTTGCTTTTGGTACAAATTGATTCGCATGTGTATGCTTAATTCTCGCGTTTAT